GGGTGACCACTGCAAAAATTTTCGGGGAAAGTAGGTGTTGAGCAAAGTGGAATATCCGAAGACGCACGGATTTGGCAAGAACTTTCGTGAAGGTCGTTTGACTTAGTGATCTGCCGTGATCTGTCATTAATCATTCTTGATTTTTACGCGCTAAAATCCTGTGTATAAATGTGAGTGATCAGGGATTGTTTTGTTGTTGTTCTTGTTCATTTTCCTGTGGTTCGTCAATACCAATGAAGCTACCATCATGTCTTCGGCGTCTCCATGCAGTTCAGCCAAAAGGTTGCAGCGTCAAGGGAGTATAAGTGGGCCGCGAGGAGCATCGACAGGGCGCGATTCGCCACTGCCAGGCGAGGCACGCCCAACATAGGAGAAAATGGACAAACGTTTACAGCGTTGAGGGGTTTTTATTAAGGTTTGAAATGGAGGAAAATTAGGTATTTGAAGGCATTTCTCGAAGGGATGGCCCTTCACGCATTCCTTGGGGTCCCAGAACATGTACGCAGGGGAACGCTTTTCCGGAAGTAGTAATGACGCTTCGAAAAGCCTTAACGAATTTTTCCACGATGAAAGGATTAGACTCCAGAATGAGATGAACAGTATAGGGCTGAGACCAGGGCAACCTATGATCGAGTTGTTCGCGTAAGTTGATAGGAAGGTCGCGGCAGCGTATCCCTCCATGTTATAAGCGGACTAGGAGTTTATTGATGAAAGGAAGTGTGGGATAGTCACAGAGGCAGTGCGGAATAATGCGGAGTTAGTAACGAGAGTAATGGCCGCCATGTCTATGGCATGTCCAGGGGGCGTATACGTAGCTGTAAAAGAAACCGCTCCGGAGTATGAGCGAGTGGGATGTTGTATGAGGCGTTATAAAAGTGGTAACGGGATGGAAAGAAGGTTGAGACAGGAAGAAGTAGAGGAAACATGAGCTGTCTGCAGTCGGCAAACGGAGCTAATTACTACAATGCTAGGAGAAATGAAGGTAATGGGAGATATGCGGCGCTGCGAGCCCAACAGCAACGGGTACCAGAGGCAAGTAATCGTACTTTGAGGAGACAGGAGAGCGGAAAAGAAAG